TGTTAATGGTTTCGAGTTATCTTATTAATTATGAAGTTGAGCTTAAATATGTGTTGTTGTTTTTTTTTGTCAACAAAGTTACTTCATTCATTTAACCGATCAAAGTACAAGGGGAAGAAATTAAGCATCCTCCAGCATTACTACAACATAATTGAAAAGCAATAAAACTTAGAACAGATAGATCATCGCAGAAGATGCTGGACAGCGGATCCAAGGTATGACTCGGATGCGTCCAGAAGGACTTCACAGCAAGGTCGGAGAGTCTCAGGGTAGTCACGTCTAAATGTGACTTTGACGATCCTGGCAAAAAGCTCGAGAGTTCGACCATTCTCAATGAGAGGGAGAAGATACGACCAGTCTCAAAGATATAGAAAACGGTGGAATTTGACTCTTCCACCGGGAGTAAATTACAGGATTTGAGAACCCAGAAAACTTTAGTCGTCTCTCAATAGAGGAAATATGATCACTAAAAACTACAGTATTTGAGAATCCAGAAAACTTTGTAGTTCTCCAAAAAAGGGAAACCAACAATCTCAAAAGCAATTAAGATTTTTAAAAATCTGCAATTTAATATCAATGGAAATGGGCTTAACAAATTAGAAAGCCCAACCTTAAAACTTCTCATGCCAAATCCAAGGATTTGAAAATGGGCCTGAAAGCCCAGCCACTTTTATTGTCCCCTTGGGCCCAGCCCAAATTTGCTTGTTGTAGAGATGCAGATCGGATCCGGAGCGTCCCGTCGACGATGAGTGGTTGGAGCAAACTGCCGCAGGAGAGGATAATGGGAAGCTGGGAGTCACCGCCTCGTCAAACCCTTTGCTGGATCGGAAATCTCGTCCGACGAGAAGGTAATCTGATGGGTCAGATAAATCGCCATGAACCCGCGGCGAGGGAGGAGGAGGTGGACTTATCAACCTTCGAGCGTGAAGCTGAGACACAGAGTCTCAAGTCCCAGGTCGGAGAGAGACGAAGCTCGGACTTGGCAGTATGAATCGTCTAATGCTAACTGAACTTTCCGATATGTTGATGTTCAGATCTAGAGGGAGCTTCGGCGTATTCACGCGTTGATGGAGGGTGGAGAGGTTGTGGATCGGTGAGGCGTTGCCGGTGGGGATTGTTCGGCACAAGGCAACTTCCCCGTTAACAAACCGAGAGCCAATTGTGGAGTAGCAGCTGAGAAACTCCATGAGGTTGGGGTAGAGAGCGGTGGTGGAGATGGGAGTAGTATATCCGGCGGATCCGGAGGCTCAGGGGGTTCCGGAGGGCGAAGCGAGTTCGTCAGCATCGCTCGGATCGTCCTCCGCCGGTAAGCGAGGCAGTTGAGCATGGAATGGCTTATTGACACGGAGGGTGAAGGCGGGGAGAGATCCATCGCATCAAACTTAGAAACCGTCGACTATGGGAGCTGAAACAGAGTCACACCGGTGAAAGACGAAAAAGAAGCACCGAAGGGAGAGGGCGCTGCACAATCGCCGGAGGGGGACCGGAGGATGACGTTCATTTTGGGACGATGGCTACCTCGGGTTTCGGGCCTGGGAGGACATTCCTAGGGCGAACCTTCTCCAGCCCAATAATTTAAATATACGTTGTTATTTCTTATATGTAACTCGTAAAAGCAAAGATAGTGAGAAACCTGAATTACACCACTCGTGTCTTTAATTTCATTGGCTCTTGGATTAAAGATCGATGAATTGAGAAAAAAATTACTATTCACGTTTTTGTGAAAATTAAATAAAGAAAAAAGTCGATTGGAGAAAAAGGAAGAATAGGAGGTAGCTGTGACTAAAAGAGGGTAGGTTAGATACTTGTAAGTTTAGTTAGGGGTAGTACATACAATATACAAGTCCACCCGTATGCTTGCCTTTCAAAGTCACTTTAAATGAAAACACTTTGTACAAAAATATCATTTTTGTGTATATATTTGCAAAAATACCACTTAAAAAATGTCTATTTACAAAAATACCACTAATCATAGATTTATAAAGCTTATATCTTAGAATTCTAAACCCTAAAAAATATTTTGACACCTAAAACCCCCTAAACAATCAAAACTAAACCATAATAGGACATAATTAATCCAACCATAAATAATATAAAGAAAAAATAATTTTAAAAAAGTGGCATTTTTGTAAAGTGGCACTTGAAAAGTGACATTTTTAAAAATTTCTCTTGTTCTAATGTATTTTCAAAATGTCTTTAAGTGACAAAATATGATATACTAGAATAGGATCCGCGTTAATACGCGGGTAAATACTATAAAATTAATAAAA